TTATAGTATACTATTTTTATCAAATGTAAAACTTCTTGTCAATTCCTTACATATTAATTTGTTAAAAAATTAATTCAATGTCTTTTTACATTAGTAAATAATACTAAAAATTTTGTTTGTGAGGTTCAATAAATGTTGACACCCCCCGAGAAATCACCCAAAATACGCCACTGCCTACTATAATATAGTATCTGTATATAGTAAATATATAGTTAACAAACAATTTTGTATATTATTTAAAAGAAATATAAATTAATTAACAATTATTATAAGAAGGGAAAGATTTTTTTTAAATTTTAAAACTAAAAAATATATTAGATTTCCGTTTGATGGGCCTGGTAATGTCCTTGCACATGCGTTTTATCCAACAGAACTTGGATCTTTAGGCGGAGATATACATTTTGACGATAGCGAAGACTGGACATTGGATAAATCTTATAAAAATGGTAGGTACCTACATACTATATAAGTAAATTATTGTATCTTATTGACTTTTTTAAAGTAAACTAACCACTTGAACAGGTGTGTATATTAAATTATAGGTGTCGATTTCTATTCTGTGGCTATTCATGAAATAGGCCACAGTTTAGGATTGGGACATTCGTCAGAACCCAATTCTATTATGAATCCCTATTATACGGGTCCACAACCTCAAGATATTGGATATGATGATATATTAGGAATGCATTCTTTATATAGTAAGTATATTACAAAAAAATATATACCTATCTGCAATAAAGTGAAATGATAAGTGATCATCATAGTGAGAGTACCGGTGCTTTTATATAAAATTTTCATTTTCATTTTCAGTATATTTTCCGTTAGGAAATTGAATCTATTTGGTACATACAATCAGGTCAAATTTAAAAATCTCAGTTATTTTTAAAGAACCGGGGAAAAAATATAGGAATAATTACTAGAAACTATACTCAAAATCGATTTTTGATTTTTGATGTAACCCTATAAATATTTACCGTGGATGGATGCAATAATTTTTAATGAACGTTTATATTAACAATTTTCAATTCTAATCGAATTTTTTTAATTGAGTATTAAAAATTGAAGCTTTTTACCAAATAAAATTTAACTGTCATTTATAAAAAAAAACTTGAAACTTCGAAAATTTCAAATGTCTATAAATAACTTCAAAGATTTGAAATATTATGAAAGTTTTATCATGTATAGATATTAATATTCACTGAAAAATGCATGAGCATGCGGTAATTTGTTTTAGAGTTACACCAATATAAAAATTCAATTTTCTCAAAAATTGATTTTCTGTAAAAATGTCCGTGTTTCCTTAACTTTAGATATTGTGGAGAGCAATGAATGTATTCATTTTACAATTTTTATTTTTTTGTGTGTGTACACATGATAAGTTGTTGAAATAATTCATTGATTTTTAATTTCAGTAGCTTTTTTGGTTGGAAAGTGAATCTAGTTGGTGCGTTGGGAAGATCAATTTTTGGGGTAGAGCACGATTGCGTATGTTTGTAGATGGGTTAAAAGTAACTTTGAGAAAAAATAAAAATAAACAGGATTGCGTATGAAATTGTATGCAACGTTGTCATTTCATCGGAGTTCACTAAAAAATAGGGCCTGAATAAAAAGTAATCAATAAATAAATAAAATCGTCAATTATTATTTTATAAAATGATCATACATTTTTTGAAAATGCTTAAAATAGATTCCTTGACATCTATAACCTATTACTTTTAAATATTGAATTACATTTTTATGGATTTTTTACTCATCATAATTCTTTATTATATTTTGAATTCTGTTTAAGTCTTTTTTTGCGAATCTCTTTATTTTCCCACTATTAACCGATTGTATAATCCATCTGGTTTGCATTTGAGTTTCATTCAATATTTGAATATAATAATATGTGTTGGAGGATGAGCAATTTGAAATTGTCCATTATTAGTCCTATGAAAGTTTTTATGTCCATTTGTGGTATTAAAAATACTTAACAATTCGATTGACAAAAAAATATAAGTCATGAAATAAGACCGATTTTGATTCAAAAACAGTAAAATTGCCAAAAAGTCCAAAATAAGCACTAAAAATTAAAAATTACAAAATATGCAATAAGCAAATAAACATTTTTAATTTGAGTTCTCTGTATCATGAAATACATTTTTAACTTACTTTATTATTTTTTAAGAATCTCGTAAGAAATATGCGAACACTATAAAATCTCAACCCTGGTCATATATGTGTGGTATATATATATCGGTATGAAAATTGGCAATAACTTCAGGTAAAATCGTATGGAATCGTGTAGCTTAAAAATGTATCGTCGATAACGAACGTATCCAATCGTGTTTTACCCAATTTTTGAATTTGTTTTCAAAAGCACTGGGGAAAAAAAAAAAAATAAGGAATACCCAGAATTTTTACGCAAAATCAATTGTTGAGAAAATTGAAATTTGAAATTGGTGTAACTCTCAAACAAATTACGGTAGGTAGATACATGAAAGTTTCACAGAATGAATTTACAGGCATTTTCTTTAATTGATAAAATTTTTAATACATTTCAACAATTTTTAAGTTTTTTATAGACATTTGAAATTTGAAATTTTATAACCTTTTAATTAAAGTTCAAATATTGTGTTTGTACTAGTGTCAAGATTTATGTAATAGAAAATGTACAGATTTTTTATTAGTTGTTAAAAATTGATGTCATTGAATTCAAATGTGACTATAATTTTTTTTCTTCAAAGTGTAAATTTTAATAAGAAAACTATAATTTCGCGTGGAATAATAATTTTCTAATTAAAAAAAACATTAATAAAAAATGACAACAGAAAAACGCAGATAATATATTAAACATAATAGACTTCTAAAAATCTATAGATGACTATAGGTTTTAGTGTTTTACAGTATATAATATAAAATATGTAGGATTTCTACAGTAGGAATACTGATAAATGTATAGGTACCTGGTACAGTATGATTCAATGATTGTGATATGTGATCAATAAATACCTACCACAAGTCGACGTCTTATACTTAACCGCTTTTTTTTGTTTTGTTTTTCCCGGTGCTTTTGAAAACTACTGGGAATTTCAAAATTTGACCTCCCCAATATGCACCAACTAGATATATTTTCCTACCGGAAAAGCTACTGAAGTTAAAAATCAAAGCATTATTTCGACAACTTATCGTGTACACAGACACACATTAAAAAAAAAAAAAAAAATACAACATTGTAAAATCAATATACATTTATGGCTCCGCTCAGAATCTACAATAAATAATAATTTAATTTAAGTTTCTAGAACTTTGCCCGAAGATCATGTGACTTTTGTACCAAGTACTATTCAACCACAGCCGAATGTACCTCACAAACCACATGTACATTGGTCTTTATTTAGCCATGAAACATGTACAGATGATAACATAATAACACTAGAATCAGTGACTACTTATAAGCCCGAAGTCTCTACTCGTAAAAATGATAATATTGATGAATGCAAAGGTAATTTTGATGCTATATCATGTTTCCGTGGAGAAATTTTCGTGTTTAAAAACAGCGTAAGTTTACATTGTCATTAATTTAATAACAGCTAGATAATATAATACAAATTAATATTTTATACGTTGTGATTTAATATAATATCAAGTTTCAAGTAGTATAATTAACTCATCATTATCTCTTATTTATGGTACACAAATTGATACAGTACCTATTACAGTTGTTAATTGTAATAATAATTGCAGTTACTATGTGGGGAGGACCTACGAATAAAATAGGATAGGAATAGGACCTATATATTATTGAAAAATATATCCATATAATAATAAATAATAATCATTTAAATAAATATTCATAGTTTTAAAAAGTGATTGACCATAAACATCGTATTAGGTAATAAAAAGTTAATAAAATAAAATAAGGACCTATAMTTAAATTAGAAATAAAAGCCGTATTTAGGGGAGGACAAACAGCGGGCCATTGCCACAGTTTGCAATTTTTTTTTAAGTTGCCATTGTTTTAATTATCTTATATAACTTAATTGACTTATATTTAATTTGCCTTTATAGTATATTATTATATTTTATATTTTTTCCTTGTAAACCTTTGTATACAAATACTATAAATTCATCAGGATATCAGAATTTTTAGCATAAATGCCATACCTATATTGAATATCAAAGTGATTTAATCCTCTATAAATTCTGATACAGTAATTAAAGAGATATATGTATTACATAATAATACATAAAGAAAATTTAAATATTTTACTCGTCAATTTATTTAACATTTTAAGTTAATTTTTAATTCATAGAATTACTAACGAGTAAAATAATATAATTTATACTACCTGCTATGTTATGTTTTTATATAACTCTTTTACAWACTTATTATAAGGCAAGAGATCTTTATTGTTACCATAAAGTTGAACCGTCATTGAATTCAAATTTAACACAGCCATGCTACTGCCAATAGCGGTAGTCTACTATGCCCAACTCTATTTTTTGTCAAAATTGAGATTTTGCAGTTGTCTACCGATAGATATTTTAATTCTCTATCGATTTTCGTATCTAAAAATAAATTACGAATTTTCTCATTAAAAATTATTAATATTATGGTCGTTGTCGACAATACTTTTAATGATCAAATGTCATTCTCTGTCGACCACCGGTAATTTGCTTGTTAGATTAACTTTCTTAGATACATAATAGTTACATATATATCAGTGTTAATTAATATAATATTATGTGTAATTTATATAAATTTATAAGTAAATGCAATACATACATACATATTCACTAAGAATAATTTGATGATACAATTAAATTATTGTGTAAGATTAGGTTCATTATAATTAAAATAAACATCTATATATTTATACACATGGTAAAATCAATACTAAAAATATAGTAAATATACAATTATATAAATCTATGATCTAATTTCTACGAATTTTACAAATAAGTAATTAATAATTAAAATTGTTTACATTGAATTTATTTATAAAATTAAGCTATTATGGAGATTAAACAACCCAGGATCCATACTACCGCGTTATCCGGTACAATTATTAAGGTTTTTTCAAGTACTGGCAGATTCCAACCAGACTATTGTCAAAATTGATGCAGCATACGAAAGACCGGACTCTAATATTGTTTTGTTTCATGGTAGGTAAGGATTAAGTAATATTATTAAAATCTTGAAGAAGTTTTCAATCAGTTATATCACATATTATAGTGGGACTATGTACATTATTCACATTAATGTCAGTAACACAATAGCGTATTTTTTATGGGTGATAGATTTGGGTGTCGCATCCTCTCCTCCGACATTTTATTTTTAAACTGGCAAACCATATTTATGTATTTGGATGCTTATAGATTTATAAGTAACCATTATTTATTTAAAAGCCCCTAAGCTAGTTGTACGCCTGTACATAATATTTTATAAGAGGTAATAATTAATAATATTATTTTGTAATAAACACCGTTCACCCAACAAAAACACTCAGTCAACTCCGTGTAAAAAAACGCGAAGTGAAAAAAATTTTAAGATGCCTAAATGTTATAAAATATGAGATACAAGATGTAATCTAAGTTTAATCCAAATTTATTTTACTTGGCTGGAAGATTCAGTCTTACAATGTATAGTCTACATGTGCACTTGCAAGTACTAAGTATTACATAATATATGTAAATACTGCACAGTACACAGACCCCATTAAAATAAATTAATTTGTTTCCAGGCAAGTAAATTAAATTTGGATTAATTTTATAGATAAATTAATTCATATAATAAATAAATGTAAATTGCCAATTTTTATTAAATTGTAATTAATTATTTATGCATACCTGACCATTTACTTAGATTCCCCTTTTTATCATACATTTTATAACATTTATTCTTAAGTTTTTTTTCACTTACATAGCGTTTTTTTTTACACGGAGTTGACGGAGTGTTTTTGTATTCAGATATTATTTTACGTATAAACGTTAGCATATTTATTTTGAACTGGGTAACAGAGTAGGTACCTATATTACTTAGTAAAATAGTAACCACTAACTACTGCTTAGAATTTTACTCAATTTTCTTAACAATCGCTCTCCTCCCAACTTCTATGTTTGTGATTCAATGATTTAAGCTTTATCCTAAATACGATACTGTAGATACTGTATATCAATGTATTCGAATTTCTTTACCATTTTAAACTAATTGGTAGATTCTGATCTATTTTTAGATCTCGTCACCTCAAAACCATATATTATGTTTACTACATTTTTTCTCACTTATATTATCTTTTAAATATTAATCCTGCTTTTATACCTGATTTATAAAGTCTACTGACTGTTTAAATAATATCTGCAATCTGTCTTGTAATACTTCCATCAATACTATTGTAGTGTATCATCAGCATGAGCTATAGTGAACTATTATAGGTTTGTTTCCTAATCAAATAGATATCTATTGGCTGTTATTGAATTCCAACTTTCATCTTTTTATAATGACATCTCCCATAGACCATAACAACATTGAGTATAATAAACGACAGTGAATCATCTTGATTTAACCCTAAGTTCAATGTGACTGGACGAGTTCTTATGTTTTTCACTTAAACCCTCACCTAAGCTCCATAACAATTGATGATATAGGTAAAATTTACTAGTTTTGTGGAAAATAAAATTCTTTTAAAATATTCAACAGACTCTTTTTATGAGTATTATATTATGTATTTATGTTGTATGCTTTTCTTAAATCCATGAAAAGTGTAAGAATTTCTTTATAAAACTTCCAATTTTTTTGAATCAATTGTCTAATTTAAAAAATTTAATATAGGTATTTTATCTAAAACATACTTTAAAAACCCTTTATATGCTTAAAAAAATTACTAACCTTCAGAAGGATATTCCATGGTAAATAGTTTTTTTTTTTTTAAATTTGCTTTTTATTAGAAAATTAAATAGTTGTTACAATCTATATAGTTCATCGCCTTTCTTGTGTATAAGGCATATTAGGTACAGCCTTTTTTTAATGTAGGTATATTCGTATATTATTATTAATCTATGATAATCCTAAATAGGTAATATGTACCTACCTAGTAAAATATTACTATTCTTAAATTGTAAAATTTAAATTCCTAAGCCTTTATTTCAATAAGGTAACAGTTAAACAAGAAATATGTTCATAGTTGACAACTTAACACATACACTTTGTTGTATTGCATCTATGTTAATACTTTAATAGTATTATGTAGTTGACATAGTTCATTTAATCATGTTAATATTTTATAACTTTTAATGTAATATAAGTTCCCTCAAGAATTTAAAATAACTACCCTTTGGGGAAGAATTTTATCTTATTATATTATCATTTATTTTTTGAAGATTAAAATTTATAATAATGACCTATACAATAAGTATCAAAGAGCATAATGCTGTATGACAATATTACGTACTCATACTTACCTTTTTATAGCCTTTTCTTGTTTAAAATTAAATTAATACAATTGTATATGTTGATTATTATATTTTAATAACTTTTATAATATTTTAGGCAATAGTTATTATGTATTCAATGGAAATCATTTGATAGAAAATAGTCCAAGATCTATCATGGATTATGGATTTCCAMATTTTGTTAATAGAGTTGATGCAGTTATGATACATGGATTACCACCAACAACTTATCTTTTCAGGTATATGATCAAGTATAAATATATGTTTAGTAAAAAATGTGTCACAGTAAAATGTACTGTTTTGTATGATATTACTGAGCAACCATACAAAAAAATATGTGTGACAAATAATAGCAATTTTTTTTGTTTTAAAAAAAAGGTTAAATTTTCAAGATAACATTTGTTTTGTACTCATTATTAAAATCATATGTATTTAATATAAAATGTAATGGATATAAAGTTATTGATGAAAGTAAATTTTATATAATTTTCTCAAAATATTTTCATTGTAAATAAAATATGTATTCAGTAAAAACATATCAACAGAATTCCTAAATAGTACTTAAAAATATTTTGTTAGACATATTACATAAAAATGTAATTCCTTACAAATTCCTAAAAAAATTTAAGCTAAATTTTAGCTAATTTAATAAAAATTACTTATTAAAGTTTGCAAACCAATGTTAACGTAGAAAAACAATTTAAGGTATATTAATTTAGTTAACAACATTTTTCATATTATGACTCATGAAAAATTAATCATAAATTATTATTATATTCAATTTTTTTTAAGCGGGGAATATTTTTGGTCATATGATGATCAACATAAATTGTTATTACAAAGGCATAGATCAATTAAAGAACATTTCAAAGGCGTAAGAACTCCAATAGATGACATTCTCACATGGAAATCTGGTAAATATTTTAATATTATTAATATATAGACAAGTAGATCCTTGAAATATATCATTTTTATAGTCAACTGGTAGATGTCATTAGCAATTTTTACACCATGAAATACAATATGTAGTTAGTGCTAACATTTATAGGGCAGGAAATTATGTTCATGACTGACCAAACAACAATCACAACCCTGTTGGAAATTTGGAAAGAAATAAACTGTAATAAGAGAACTATAGTCTTATAAAAATGTAATGAACAACAATGTTCAAAAGTTGAATATCAAACAAGTGGTTTACTCTTAACTGTTGGCTGTTGCTACTGTTGCTCTACTAGAATGAATAGTAAAACAAATAAAAACTTAAATCTAGCTTGATAATTTTACTAAAATATTTTTAATTTTTTTACAAAAAAATTCATAATCCTCTTTAATTATGCTGTACAATTTAGAAAATTTGACTAATTATTTTTCATAATAATTTATAATTTTAATCTGTGAAAATTCTACTTATTTTTTTTAATGAAACTGAAGTGATTAGTGAAGACAATGTCTAATATAGTATAGTTTACAATACTAGCATAGGAAAAACTAGTCAGGCCACTAACTTTGGCGTACCCAGGATTTTCTAATTGGAGGTGGGGGTGGGGGCTAAATCTATATCAGAATTCAGTACAATAATAAACGTAATGTTTATGCTTTGCTTATACTAGGTCATTGTTAAGAAGATATTACGTTGTATTCAATACCGTTTTTTAGAAATATCATGGCTTGTACTTTGTCTTTTATAATATAAAATGTATTCCAAAATACTGCCAATGGGGGGGGGGGCTGAAGCCTCTTAAGCCCCCCCCCGGGTACGCTACTGAGTACTAACATCTAACACTGTTTAGATAACATACTGAATTAATAGAATTTCAAAATAAAATTAAAAACTTATTATATAGGTAATTAGAATCTTTTTCATGTTTATCATTATTGGCCTGTCCTAATAAAATTTTCTAGTTTTGATTACTATAATATAGTATAACTATAATGCATATTATCATAATGGTCACTTAAAATTATCTTATTTCCACACTTCATCATATATGTATCCAATAATTATTTTTAAAAACAACATAACTTTTAAATGAATATGTATAAAATAACATAATACAAATAATTTTTTTAGGAGATACATATTTCTTTTCCGGAAATCAGTTTTGGAAGTATAATCATAGTCACAATAAGACGGAAGAAGGATACCCAAAAAATGCTGCAGAATTTTTGCTCGGATGTAATATTCTTAATTTATAGTTTTACTATTATTATTAACATTATAACTATTTATTTAACAAATATAAATAAATTGTACAGATTATATTAAAGAGCAATTTATTGTTTAAAAAATAAGTTAACTACCAATGTAAATTTTAATTTAATAACTTAGATACAGTAGAATTTTGATTATCCTTCCCCCGATTAACCATCAGGCGCTTCAATTGCACATACTACTTTCACATTGCAGTAAAATCTTATCGCCTTGTGTATGAATTGGTTTATCAGAAACATAAACAATAAAAAATGTTTAATAAATTTAAAAAAAATAATAATAATGTACCAATAATTAATAGTACCTAATTATATCAAATGCATTTCATAATTATTAAAAAAWAATAATAAATAATAAGTATGTATGTTTAACACGTTGACTGCCATGCGGCCTCGAGAATATTTATCATGGGTATGTCAAAGACATTTTTCAGTGTCATTATAAATTTGTATTTGTATATATACTATTGAATTTGAAAAAAAATTGTTAAAATTATGTTTATTACATAAAAAAAATTGAAATTATTCCAACTATGCCACAGCGTATTTTCAAGATCATTATTGTAGCACCACGGAAAAGTCAATAATATACATCCAAATTAATTTATGGCAGCCAGCAGTCTAAAAATTATCAATACATAATTATTTTTATAATTGCCGATAGCCGCATGGCAGTCAACATGTTAAAAAACTTTGTTCGCTCACTTAACCATCTCTTCGATTATCCATAAAATCTGGTCCAGATACTGATGGTTAACCTAGGTTCTACTGTATTTATAATTATTAGGTTGATACTTATACATAAATAATTTAACTAGTTCAACCTAGACATCTATGGTACTAAATATTAATGAAATTATGAAATTAATTGTATCAAATTTCATTATTCTCAAATAAAACTTAATAAGAATATTCTTAAACCACTACAGAAAAATTCGCAATTGCAAAAAAATTTGAACCCTAATAATGTATATAAATATATAACATATTTTTGTTACTACTCTGTGCTCTCAACCATATAGGGTCAGTTACTTAGTTCTAAGTAGAGCTTTGTCTCCGACATCTCAATTACTTACTCGTGCCACCTATTTTCATTTCATTCTCTATTCTATTGATTGATATCTTCTTCAGTATCACTTTCCTTCTCTTTCTTTCAACATTTATCTCCATAACTGTTCTTACTGTATCTAAGTGGCCTCCCCTCATAACATGACTAAATCATCTCAAACTTTTCTCTATGGTTTTTGTCGCACTGAAAATATTCTTAATGGATTGATTACTTATTCTATTCTCCCTAATCATTACATACATCTCATCTTTGAGTTACTCACTTACTGTCTATTATTACATAATTTACGCCCCATCTTCATTTATAAACTCTCCTTGAAAAGCAAGAAGAYCATTACGAATCTTGATTTAATCAGAAAAATATAATAATACTTGTAAATTATAATATATTTTTATATATATACATTGTATCTCTTAAAGTTAAACCTATTCTGAATAGCTTAATTATAGGTTAAATATAACAACTTATCCAACCTTAAATATTATTTAGAGTAAGAATATGTAAACTATATTCAAGGACATTAAAATGTAATTGACATTATTCATTGGTGTTTAAATAATCAAATGCAATTGCATATTAATAGAAGCATGTATTTTATATCGCCATCATACAAGAAAATTGAGAATTTTATGAAGTTAGGTATAACAAAAGATTTATAACCATATAATTAAAACTCTAAAAATATTTTACACAAAGAAATGTATGCATATTTAAAAATACCTAATTTTGATTAGTGATAGATTATAATCTATATAAACTGATTAAAAATTATCTTAAATAGTATATTTTTTCTTTCATTTATTTTCATTAAGTAATGATAAGTATACTTAAGTGTAGGCACGCTAAAATAATAAAACACAAACATTTTTTTAATGTATAATTAATAATACAAATATTTAAATGACTAGAGATTTATAATAAAAAGTTATGGCTTATACTATTATACTATTATGTATACCTTTGATAAAAACAATAAATAATTAATTGGGGGTAGTTTTTAACACAATTAAATGGTTTAATAATATTAAGGTAGGGGAATATAAGAGCTAAGTAAAAATATGAATAACAATCATTTGGAGAAAAAATCCAGAGTAACAATATCAAATAGTTTTAATCGTCATCGTCGTCGTCATCTGATGGAACGAACAATTCATTTTCCTCTAGAAAATTAGCCATATACTTACTTATGGTAGCTCCAATTAATAACCCTGGAACAACTGTAAAAATTATACCCACTAGTCCAAATGGAATTTTTTGTGGTTCAGGCAATAAAGCACCAGTAGATGATGTAGTGGCTGTTCGAACATAACATGGTCGCATAATTCTTGCCATTTTCAAGAAACTTGATATCTTAGTTTTCATTTTTATTTTTGGTGTAACAATAAATACAATTTATAGGTGTAGTAATTTGGAAGTTTTTCGAGCAATATCAAAAAAAGTACATCCAAAGTTTAAAGTTTAAATTAAGAAATTGTCAAATTTAATATCAAATAATAAAAGTCATTTAACCCACAACTGTTATTACTTATCATTTATCAGTTAAATGTAGATTGTAGAAGAGCACTAAGAGCGGCAGGTTCAGAAGGTCCATACTCCAAAGTCAATATTATGGTGTTCTGTGGACTGTGTTATCACAGTAATAATATGGGAAATTTGAATACATGATAAAGCTTAGATAATGAAGAATAAAGCTAAATATATATATATAATTGTAATGGTATATAGGTATTGATAAGGATGACTTAACATCGGGGATAAAAAATATTTGTATTTGCCTACACTGATCCGGTTAAAAGTTACCATTTCTCTGACCACTTCTACAAATTAATTGCTCTTCATTTTCTTGATTCTTCTTGTAAAATATCATCACGATGTTTTTAATTTTTGTAGTCACGTTTTACAAAGTATTTATATTTTGAACCAAAATTATTAAAATTTTTGATTTATTTTAATTTATGTTATTGCCTATTATATTTTTTTGGTGTAAAAACCTATAGAGCTGGGTAAACTTTCCCGGCCGTGTAATTTTTTTTAATTTTTAAAGAAGATCAGAAGCCATTTGCAATGACACTGGAAGTCAAGGAGGGAAACTTGACTAATTCAAACAAACAGCAATTAAATGGTATGTATAATAATAAGTAGCTAATACATTATTACAATAATAATAAATACATCTACATTACAAAAGAGTATTATATCTGTGATGTAGTATTTTTAGCTTAAAATTTTGGGTAGATACCTTTATTATGGTTACTATTTAAATTTAAAAAAATATATATATTTTTTAATTGAACTGTAAGTACTTAATTGCCTTATCAATTAAGAATATTGTATTTTTAGTGTCTAACAAACAGTGGTGGAATTAAAATATTGTACCTAATCATGCTCATATATATATATATATATATATATATATATATATATTACTGGAACTTAACTTTTTATATTTGATTTTACTTCAATATTTTATTAAATTGTTATTATTTAAGGTTACTAGTGGTACCCTTAAGTAATAAGATGTTTGATTTTTAAATTAATTAATCATTGAAATCCACACTTTTAATTACTATCAATCAATTTTATTCCAATGAATAGTAGGTAAGTACTAGTTAAATATTTTTAAATTTGTTTGTTAAACTGATAAAAAAAAAAGTACAGTTATGTATTTAGGGAGTGTGCCCAGTTCTCTAGTTTTTTTCTTTAGGCTATCCTCTAAATATACTATGATATGAGGATAAATATATATATATGTATAACTATTAAAATGTTCAGTGGCAAAAACAAAATATTCTGTTATTATTTGTAATCTTTATTTCTCAAAATAGTATTCAATAGATATTTAGGTAAAGGTGATCAAAAATACTTTTGAGTACCAATGATATTTTATCTATAATTTACTGTCAATGAATATATTACTAGGTAGCTAGGTACTTTGCTATTTTTTTATAATTTTTCTGAATTTAAGTTTCCAAAATTATAAAATGTCATCATAGTATGCTTCTTTCCTTTAATGTTTCACATGACTTTTGTTTGAATAATTTCTTCAAAATATGTCTATAAAAGACATTTTTTTTTTWAAATTATTAATCATTTGCATCTGTTTCTGATATTAAGGGATACAAGAAAATTATTATTTTATGTGAAGTGAAAACATTTTTCAAAATTTAATGATAAGGTTTCTACAGGAGTTTTTATCATTTTGAGAGTTATGGGAAAAATGTGTATATTTTTAGCAATACATTACTGCCTTGAAATATTTATTAAGGTCTAAGTTCCATAATAGTTATAAATTAATAACTGGGTTATATTTATGACAATTGATTCTATTTAATATTTTTAATTCTACCATAAAATTATAATGTGTGTTTTGACATTAAATTATAAAACAGTAATACATTTAATTAACCTTATTTTTATTATGTGCAGGTACCTGTGTCTATTCCAATTAACCTAATTGTGTATTATTTGTTACAATACTGACAGAATATAATTTGTTAACGATACTTATTTTATTTATTTTTAACATACTTTAACCATCCACGAAATATGATTAGTAAATACTAGACTCTATATATTTGAGTTTTCAAATATTTAGTATCAAAATAATAGTGGGTTAAATATATATTTTATTTTAATTATCTAAAAAAAGAAAACACATTAACTCTTTTCTTAACCTAACCAATATGAAATTGTTGAATTCATAACTACTTATTTTTTATTTTATAATTGATCAATTAATATTATTTGAATTACAGATACTAGTTACATAAAAAGAATTTAAACACAACTTATTAACTAAAATTTAATTTTATAATAATAACATTTGAAAACATATAATTAATACTGTTCTTCTGGTAGATAAAAAAAATCAGAAAATGTTCAAATCATCGCCTTAAAATAAAAGTTTCATTATTAAAAAAACATAGAAAAATATTAAGATTGCACTATGAATATATTATGTTTATACATAGAATTGTGTATTTGAGGTTGCAACATTGTGCAATATCTTCAGCAAATGGTACATTTGAATATTTTCAAAGGGTTAATTTGTTAATTCCTAATCTATTAAGAAACTGAATATAGCTGTAATATGAAATGTAATGCCACAAAAAGTGTCTTAAGACAATAAATAAGAAAATAAATAAAAACATCATTGTGTGAAAAGTGTTATAAATTATTATATTTGTTCAGTGATGATATACTTTTCTGTTCCTGGTATAATATTAATGGACTGATTTTATCAATCATCAATTTGAAATTGCCATATTGATTTTTTTAAATATAATGCTATACAATTACATTTGACTATAAGCAAAACTACTAGCAAAAAAGAAGCAGTAGGTATGCACTGAGATGGAAAACTTCTTCCTATATGTTACCCTTAGTACAGAAAATGTTGTAAGTCAAAAGTTATTAACTTAAATTTTGATTAATTGAATATTCATCAATATTTTAAATATCTGTTGAATAAAGGTAGACTAAGACGGTTTTCATTTGAACAACAGGAGGATCAACCTTAGTAGTATAAAAATTCTTTTTGTTGAATATATGCAGAGTTACAGTGACATGATAAAAATTAGTTCGTTAGGTTAGCAGTTTATGATCACCGCTTTAAAGTCTTTTAATTAGGCTACCTGGGATAGTAACCGGTGGCAGATCAGAGACTAAAGAATTTTTGACTAACCTAATATAAGAATAAATAAATACATTCAAAAAATATTAGTAGTCTTTAAATTTGAACTCTTTTTAGTATCTAATTAATGTCATTTTTATTTATTATGTATAACTGTATAGTAATGTCAATGGATATTTTCTCTCATCATGTGAACTCCATGTCAAAAACTTTTATAAATATCCAATTTAATTATTGTATTCATATTATAGATTTCTTATAAAAATATATATCAAAAAATGATTAAGTACAGTCTTGCACAGTATCTAAAATATGAAAATAAATAATAGTAATAAAATATTAACTTCATAGTATTTATTAACTTAATCATGTATTTTATATTGCAGGAAATATAGAAATGGCTTGTAGTGATCATAAAACACCAACTGTAGATCATGTTATTAATGGAATCAGTAGTCAAGAAATTAATTCTGAAAGTACTGCAACTGTTAATCATGTAGATGTTGTCAATAATAATGAATCCCTTAAAATTGAGAAAAAGCAATTAAAGAAAAATACCAAAAAAGAAAAAGATATGGACATAAAGGTTAAGGATGGAAACATTAATGATATTTCTCATAGTGATGATAGTTCTGAGGAAAGTACAGATAATAACAAAAAAACCGGTACTGAGATCATTTTCATTCAAGATCTTGGTTTTAACGTGAAAATAGTTTGTCCTGGAACTGAAGCTTTTGAAATTCAAGTAGGTTAAATAAAATTAAAACTATTCAATTTAATGTTGTATGACATGCTTAATGTAATTTAGGTATCTAGCATGGAATTGGTTCAAGAGATTCACCAGTTACTGATGGATAGAGAGGATACATGTCACCGTACTTGTTTTTCATTACAATTAAATGGAGTAACATTAGATAATTTTTCGGAATTAAAAACTATCGATGGCCTTAAGGAAGGTTCTATTATTAAGGTATKTTTCAGTGTTATATAGTTGTTGAAAATAGTGGTAGTTACAATAAATATGTTTATTTTATTTTCGAATGATATTTTTGTTCTGTGAATATCTTGCCCATTAATCTTTCAATCTTTCATATCACTCTTTGTAGTCGTATATGATTTATCAATATAATATATAAAATAAATTTTTCTAGTCTGACTTAAAGATCTCAAACTTTTTTTATTACCTACTTGTACTACTTTTATTAGTTAAAAAAAAATAAGTTGTTGCATTATTAAAATTATATATTAAGATATAATATATATTTAAATATATAAAAGCAAGTTTATTAAATAATATATTTTTTTAAGGTTAATAATTAAACACTGTCTACTTCAGTTTAAATGACCCATCATTCTCTGGCTCGTTCTTATTGCCTATGATAATTTTTTGAAAGGTTAAAAACATATGTATTAATAATTGTATTCGAAGAACATAGATATTATTGTAATAGTATTGGTACTCACTATTTACTTGTAGCAATCTTAATGTCTCATTTATAATTTTTGTCTTGTGTATTGTTATTATATAAATTGATGGGTACAGTAGAAATGTGTTATTTTATGAAAACAGCTTTATAAGTAAAATTATTTGGCCACTAATCAACTTGGGTTGAATGTTAGGAACATTATTATATCATTTTTTTTTTTTTAAGCTTTGGTAAATGAGGCTGTAGGTTGGTACTGTTGGGTTTTGGGACTGTACTTTTGGAACACTTGTATGTTTGGCAGAATTTCTAGTGGGCACTCATATGTTTCTGTTATGCTGAGGTGCGAGATGGTGACCTCTCTAGACACCATGACTGCCTGCTTGTAAAGAGGTATCGCTCTCATGACCAAGGTTTGAATCAGTGATGGTGTGATTCACAGCCGACTGCATAGAATGCTTGGCCACTCCGCCCCC